AAGAATTGAGTTTAATATGTGCTGTCAGCACAAGCTAGGTTTTCAGGGCACCAGCGGAAGCTCTGGGCAGATTAGGAGCCAGTAATGTTGCTTTAATGTGCGGATGATTTAAAATGAACAATAATCCATATACAGCCTCACAGCAGTACATATTGATCCCCACAGAGCTTTTGACATTCTTATTTTTGTCAAGGCAAAATATGTAATAAAAAATATGTGTGTAGTCAAAAACTCAGTTTAACTTTTTAATTCACTTGTTTATGTCATTGTTTCCAAAGTGAGTGTAGCTTATCAAAATGTCTCCTAGCACTGCTGTTAATAGGACGAGCACATTATTTCTCCCTCACTAATCTTTCCTGTAGGTCTCAGACTACAAACTCTGGAGCTGAAAAATGAATTGAGTGAAGAAAAATGGATTTCCTTGCATCCAAAAGTCGATCCCTGTGGACTCGCACGTAAAAAGGTTGAACATTTCCAACAAAGAGCAGAGAGTTTACAGCCTCGTGCAACAAAATGATTGTGATCCCTGCAGCTATATTTCTCCATTATAACAACTCTCTGGGCTGAATTTTCTTTATAACTAAGCCTTTCAGGGTGTTTTTAAACCTTAAAGTTTCCGTTTTTAAGGATATTGCATTAACTGATAGCTGGTTGCTAACTAGGCTGATAGATTTATGCTAGGACTTACCTCGATATTCTGAGTCACTGAACTAGATCACTCCACCATGTTTGCTTCATTTATGGTTTTTTTTATAGCACGTTTAATTACAACAGCAACATTGACCAAAGTGCTGTACAGAAACACAAAATAACTTGTATTAAATAACTTATAATATTAGTACCAAATACCAAATAACTCATACTGTATTAAAAGCCTGTGAATACAAATGTGTTTTAGATGAGATTTTAAAAGGAGCCTGTCTGATGTGTAGATTATTCCACAGTTTAGGCGCTACGACTCCAAATGCTCGATTGCCTCTGTGAACCAGCCTAGACCTTGGTATGGCTGAAAGCAAAAGATCATTTGATCTAAGAGATCTAGAGAGCACATAAGGCTGCAAGAGGTCAGACAAATACCCGGGAGCCTGTCCATCCAGGGCTTTGTAAGTCAACAATAAAATTTTAAAACCAATTCTGAAGTGAACAGGGAGCCAGTGAAGAGAGACAAGCACCGGGGAAATATGTTCAGAAGACGAGCTGCAGCATTCTGGACCAACGGCAGTCTTGCAAGGCTGGTCCGACTAACGCCAACATTTAAGGAGTTACGATAGTCCAGCTGGGATGTAATAAAAGCATGGAAATGATTTCACCTTAGATAAAAGCCTCAGTTTGAAAAAAGACTGCTGTAGAACTGAGCTAATCCGTTTTTCAAAGGTGAAATTGTGTCAAATTTAACCCCTGAATTTTTGCGTGTGACTTAATAAAAGGCTCAAGACTGTGCAGGTTAAAATGAGAAGTGCTGGGATTGCCACTTGGTCCAAACATTATCACGTCAGTTTTGTTCTTATTAAAGTTAAGGAAGTTAGAGGCTATCCAGGCTTTAACTTCACCGAGACACTGAAGTAAGAGTTCTAGTGGAGCAGAACAGCTTCTCTTCAGTTTGTGCTGTCGGACGACTATTTTAGTCCAATTGCTTGACAAAAGAGATGACCAGTGTGATTATTTGTACTAACAGCTTAACTAAAAAGCTGGTGCTCAGGTGTGTTGGATTGATATTGAAGCTTGTTACTTAGGATTAATTAGCAGGCATCAGTGTCTTTGTGATGTACTGCTATTGTCTATGGACACAGCTTCTAGCAAAATTTAGTGGCATTAGCTGGCAGCTTTGCAGTCCACTCTCTCGCATATGGTCACTTCTGGCTCAAGGAAAACCATCATGGCAGTGGCCAGAATGCTAAAACAATGGCTTCAAATGCAACTTCCACAATTTCATTAAACTTCAAAAGGAAGCTGTCCTTTAAAATTCAAGAAAATGAACAAGTGGAAGACAAAGAAGAAGTGGCTGTGCTAAAAGTGAACTATAGCAAGTGAGTATCTGAAAGTCATGTCCTCAAGAAATGGGGGGGGGGATCCAGCAAATATCTGACACAGGACCTGAGAGAGGCACCTGCCCCTTCAGTTTATCCATCTACTGTTCAGTGAAGCCTCATCAGAAATGGTCTCAGTGGAAAGGTGGCTGTCAAGAAGACACTCTTAAGGAAGGGAAATAGGGGGGAAAGTCTGAGGTATGCCAAATTACACAAGATCTCTACTGAAAGTCAGTGACAACATGTGTTCTCAAGTGATGTATCCAAATTAGAAATTTTTCGTTTAAGTAGTCATTATAATGTATGGGGAAAGTCAACAATGAATGTCTACGGCCATCTGCAAACATTTTGGAGGCTGTGTCATGGTTTAGGGTTGTATTTCAGCCAGTGGTGTTGTTCTTGTCAAAATTTATGCCATTATGAATGCACTAAAGTACAGTCAGATTGTGACCTACCATGTATTACCATCTGAAAAGCATCTGATTGTCATCAGCTTCTTTTTTTCCCCATGGCAATGATCCCAAACCATGAAACTGTGAAAACCATACCCAGATAGGAAAATATACAATGGAACAGTCGTGGACTAGCCTCCTCAGATCTCAACCCTCAACATTATTGAAGCAGTGCAGGATCATCCTGACAGAGAACAGACCAAAAAGCAGCCAACATCCAAAGAAGATCTTTGAATGTCCCTCAAGAATCCTGGGGAACTACTCCTTAAAACTACTGAAAGAAATGACAAGAACGTTTGATTAAGAGAGTTCAGGCTGTGCTGAAGAATAAAGGTGATCAAACCAAATACTGACTTTTAAGCTCATTATAATTATACAGATCTTATATACTCTATTCCCATGCATGTTTTGCACATGTTTCCAATTTCACTGGTAAAATATTGGGTAATCTTATAGCTCAAAATATTTTTGTACCGTACTGAATTCCAGAACTTTGCATAGAGCTGTGTTTTTCACACTCTAACTTATTTCCATTAGTCCCCAGCAAAGGTGAGGTCAAATAAACACCAAGCTATGACTAACAGTGTGCATTCTCATGTCTGTGCTTATCCTTCTCTTGCACTTGTTTTTATATTGCTGTCATATGCTGTCTGCTTTTGAAGGAAATGTATTTCTCTCACAAAACTGCCAAATTAGCAGCATGTCTGCATCCTAAAAAGAAAGACCTGTTTGTACACTGTACAATCTCATAACCTCAACATTTTGTTGACACTGTTATTATAAGGAGAAATACAGTAACCTCATAAAAGTCGCAGCATTTACGCCGGCTATTAAACTCTGTCAAGTGGATCACGCAAGGAGGGAAATAATTGACATGTTTCAAGGAGAGAGAGGGGAAAAAACTAATAATACATTGTGTCTGTCTTTTCTGGAGGCCCTTTGACTTTGTGAGTGTGTGCGCTCTTTTCCCATACCTGGCAGTGTATGTAAAGTATAATCAAACCTTTCTGCTGTGAAGTCGCTTTCATTCTTTTGCCTGTCTTCCTTGTTGGCTGCCTAAAATGTGAGGTGTTTTTTCCAGAACAAACCTTTTAAAAAAGAAGAAAAAAAGCCTGTTCTAAGAAAAGTAGGCCACTTGGACAGATGACTGACACGGGTTTTGTGTGACACTGAAGCACTTTATTTCAGGACGTTTAGTGCATCATCTGTTGAAATTCTTCGCCTGCTGAAATTTGTGACTTTGCTCGTCTTTAGACAGATATTAGTATCTGTGGTTTTTTTCCACAGCGATGTGGAGCGGTTACGTAAGTCCACGCTGTCGTTCTGTGTTTTCAGCGAGTCGTACACTGATTAGAACGATAATATGAAATGTGACACAAGTTGTTTGGTTGTCATCTTAATTATTTATACACACCTCTGTTGGATGTGAAAATTGGGTTGTTGTGCTCTGCTGCATGACAAATCTTTCATTCTTTCAGTGTCAGATGCAAGAATATGAGAACGATGTGAAAGATTTGTCCTCTCTGAATATTTCTATTATTTATTTTGCCACTGTTTTTAGTCTCCTATTTATAATTTAGGATGTTATACATTTGCGTGTGCTGTCTTTCCACGAGTTAAATTTATCGTCTCTCCTCATGGCGTTGTATTATTTGCTTTTTTTTCTGCTTCATGTTTGACACTATTCCCCACATGCTGTATACACACAGGCTCTTCTCTCCAAACAAAAAAACATGTGAATTTCTTCACCCCTGCTTTTCTCTGTCTCGCCCCCACACCATGCTCAAATTACATGATGCTGTTTTGCGCCGGTGTGCCACAGAGACCGTGCATGAAATTTATTGGGCCCGAGTCCTGCCATTTGACACGCAAGATGTGGCTAACAGATCTTGTGCCATTTCCCATCTCCTCCGGCTCCCGTGTAATGCTGACCTTTCCTGCCTCAGGGCTATATTTAAACCGTGAGCACCGGAGACTTATGGCGGCATGGGAAATTTTATTATCGACGCTCTCCATTTGTCTGACTTAATTCAGGCCTACTGTAGATCGAGCTGAAGCATGCCGTATATTTATACTCCTACAAGGCAAACAAGGGCACCGGTGACAAACCCAGCCATCAACAACTTAGTGGGGGTTACTCTTGGTGAAATATTCCTTTGAATTGCTCTTTGGAGTGTCGGGGAGATTGTGCCGTAGGTTGTGTTTACATTGCACATCACCTACTGTAATGTGTGAGAGGAATATAGAGCGGGCGGGATGATATTCCATAAAGCAGAGAGTTGAACAGAGAGTCATACACAAAGGGACTTGGCATTTTGGAGAATCTCAGCTGGTAAAATGTCATAGATATCAACCTCAGACACATTCATCAGCCTTTACCATTTGTCGTCATTAGACCAGAAACCGGGTTGAATGAACTCACCGACACACATGAGTCACGACATCCGCACACGCTCTTTTTTTTTCAAGCCACCTGCTTAACCATTCACTCACGCTCTCTTTTTTTCCTGCACGCTGATAGGCCTGAGATGGGAGTTCAGAGGGTGCTCCAGGTGGATCTGAAAATGGAAAGCTTCCCAGAGCCGATGGGCAGCCGCTGGATGGCCTGGCAGGTGGAATACCCGGCCAGTCGCGCTGCCACTCAAGAGGTGGAGACAGAGATCCGCCTGGCTCAGGAGGACGTGGCGGGCATCGTGCCCCTGGCCATGGTGAGTGATGCCACTTCCAGCTCAGTGCAGTGCCCAAAACATATAAATGGCTGGACTCATTACCCTGAATGCGTGTAGTAGATGCTGGTAATATTGAGCACCATATTGTAAATTCACACCAAGAATCAACATTTGCATATGTGTTTGCACGACAAGAAAGAAATGCATTGCAAAGACTTTTTGCCCTATTAATTATAACCAGGATATCAGTATATTTATGACTGGTCAGATTTAAAAAAGAAAAAAAAAGATTAGATTCAAAGTAGTAATAAAAGATTGGTGCAGCAAGGAGAATGCATTCGTGTTATACGAGTGACATTAATTTAGCTGAAGCTGAATAATCTTTGATAATAGTATGTTTATATCAGTGATGCCATCCCAGGGGGAAGAGCATGCAAAATTATTCAAAATCTTTTCTCTGTCCAGTCTGTTGCTCTCAGACATGACAGAATTTAAGTTTAACATGAGAGTTTGCTTAAATTCAGCTTTTGAGGAATGGCCTTCCTCTCATCCTACTGCGATCCCTATTTAAGAGCCTAAAAAATACTCATTTTCTCTCACTGCTCCCTCACTCTTTATTTGACTGTAATAATCAGCTTTTGAGATAACGGTGAGAACGAAAGGAAAACTTGATTGGTTTATAAATGGGCTTGTGAAATGTAAGAACTTTGTTTCATTGATCAAACTGAAGCTTTACCTCCCTGTTTTTCTTGTGCTTCTCCTGTTTTTTTTCATCAAACTGGACAGGATGATTAATCCTAGACTGATTTCATTCGTTTTGCTCTTTATTTGTCCAAAGGGGAAGCTTGGGAGAAACAGCTTAGAAATGAGCAATCTCCATATATATCAAGATGATTTGTTTTGTAATGAGACGGAAAAACCAGGCTATAGTGAGCAGGATTTTTTTCTTTTTCCTCTGGGATGCTTCAAATAATGCGTCGCAGACAGTTGCTCCTCAGCTGGGGAGGAAATTAACAGTATTATTGAAGCATTTTATTTTCCTTTTCCAGCTTTATATTTGATGCTTCATTACATTTCACAGAGAATTATTACACTTTCTAATCAATTGCATGTATCTGACAACAGTAGCTTAGTTCTCTGTTTCAGGTTTTTGTATATACAAAAAGTTAAACCCATGTTTCAATAACAAACCTTTATATTTAACTAAGCTATTAAGCTATTCTGCATAATAGGCATTTTAACTTTTAATTCTTTAAATATATTTTAGTGATAATACAAATAACTGCATTTACTCGATTCTGTTTTTTAACTTGTTTCTTTGTAGTGTATCTGCTTTAACTTTGCTAAAGGACTTCTAAACGTCTTCCATGACTGTTGTTTTGACAGCGAAAGCAGAGGCAATGATGTTTGCTCTGTGCTCACAAAGTGTGTTTAGGAGCAGGGCAAGAAGAGAGCATCTGTAGCTCCCAGCAGGACACAGTTGGAGTCTCAAGGCTGGCTCTGGCTTGAGGGTTCGCCCGGAGCTGTGTGTCTTCCTCAGCGAGGCGCAGGTAGTCGGTTGTGTTGCTCATCCCTCGTGGAGGTTCATGCAAGGAGCATTTCGTGCATCTTTGTAGCTTTGTTCAGTGACCCGGAGAACACGGTTTCTGGTTTAGATCAAGAGCGTTCAAGTGAATAAATGAGTGAAATCAGTTGTGTTGACAAAAGGAAAAGACATAGTGTCACAGCGGTGCTGATTACTAAAGCAGAGATTGCGTTTGTTTCTGATTCGGTGCTTCTGATCTGCATGATACAGACCTGACTGCGTTGTCATTGTTATTCTGTAAGTATTGCCTGTAGCTGCGTAGATGATAGATGCCTGTGGGTGGCTGTTCCAAGATTCAGAGGAATTCGAGGCATCCTCACTCCCAGATCCAGTCTTGGGATAATTGAAGTTATGTCTTTAATGCTTCAGTATTGCTCGAGTTCCCTCTCTCACGCCCTTTTTTCATGTCGCTGATGCATGAACAGTGCATCTTCCTTACTCTAGGAAAACATGACTTCTAGTGACATAAACTACAAAGATGATTTGCATGATTACTTTGCAAAAGCCTGTGCTTGTAAAAAAAGAGACCCCAGCAGGGATTTTGCACCCGCTAGCTCAGTGAACGCACTGTAAATAAAATCTTTATTTGTATTATCTGATTGTATTTAGCTGTTGTGCAAGGTCGTATTCTTGGCAGTATTGCCTTTATTGTTTTTGTAAAATGAAGTCTGTGAATGAGTGCACAAGCCTGCAGACACGTCCCTGCATTTTCACTCCACCCATTGTGCACAGAGGAAGGTTTTCACTGCTAAGTATAAATCACACATTTTATCACTGCGACAAAATGCATCTCAATTAACTAAATATTGCAATTATTTGCTGAGGTTATAGACCGAAGCCTTAAAGATCGCTAAGATGTTATGTGTCCCATAAAAAAGACGATGCACTGTCTCTTCATTTGTGTTTCTGTGCCCTGTATGCACTGAAAGGCTTGAATTTCGTTTTCCTTACCTTGATTTTCTAATCTGTTCAGAGGGCTTGTCAGTGAGTCAGTGAAGCAGCTGCTATCATGTGTGAGTGTGTGGATAAAGTATATAAAAAAAGGACTGGTTTCACTGATCAGCCTATACCTTTGATACTAACATTTCTGACTTTTTCATCATCAGAAATTAATTTTAAAATTTCTTTTGGGGACTTCTTTTTTCAAAATTTCATTTTATTTGGGTTCAGCACAAGACTGCACACATATTCTCTTTGCTTTGCTATTTCATTTTTCTCCATGGCCATCTCCCACACAGACAACAGCCAAAGGTGCACATCGACTCCAGCCACCCCAGTGGTGCAGTACTTAACACATAACGCAAATAGATGGAGATACATCCAGAACTCATTAACTCTCATTAACTGTATTTCTCTGCCCCCCCCCCCTTTTTTTTTCCCACCTGCACACCCACACATACACACAGGCACATAAGGCTTTTTGCAATCTGCATGCACCAGTATGAGAAAAGCACACAAGCGAGAAAGAGGAAGGCTGAATTAGATTACTTGGGATCACTGTGGCATGAAAAAGCCCAGAGATAAGTTCCTCACCCTCCTCCCTGCTACACTCTTCGCTGATAGAAAAGAGGAGGTAAGGTAATGTAAGAGCAATGCCATCAAGCCCCCTTTACACACGCACACATCTGCAGGTGTGTCGCCATCACCATCTTGCCTCCGAAAGGGAAAGCAAAATCTAATATCAAAACAAAACTGGTCTCTGCACATGGAACTGAAGTTGCCATTTTCACAAAAATGGAAAACGTGGAGCAGAAGTAGTCTTTAATGGTATGTGGGTTGCCCTAATGCTGCCAAAGCAGCATGGGCAAGGAATATCTGAGAGGGTATTATGATGTTCAGGAGGCCTCTATGGATTATGCCTAATGCTGGGGCTTTCCGCTCCTTTCCAATCTACTGCCCACTAGCCCCCTGCTTGATCCCGAGTTTTCAGCTGCTAGCCGGCTGCCTGCTACCTTGCTCTCTAATCTAGCCAAACAACACCCCATGTGTTAGGTTCGGTCTGCTTCATCTTTAGCCAAGTACTCCTAAGCTACTCTTAGTACTAGCCGCATCCACCCTTCCACAAACACTTTTATTCTGTGCCTTGAAGTTTGTGTTTGTGTGTGTTTTTCCTAACACTTGTGCATGCACTCACACTCTGATGAATGCATCTGGGGCAATTTGAGGTTCAGTATTTGACTGGTAGATGACCTCCTCTACCTCCTGAGCCACAGCTGGGCCTTACTTTTTCATCTCAGATTCCTGGGAGTCATATATTTTGAGACTGAGCTTACTTTCAAGACAATTTCTCAATAAAAAGTAAATGTCAGAACTCTCTCTGTCATTCCACTTCCTGATCTTACTTCTGGTCAGTTGATGTGACCACTCAAAAACACAGAACAGTTTGTTTGGTCACCTTTATGGATGACATTCCTAGATCAGCTGATGCCAAGTGGAGCCTGAGTTACTCACTTCTATCCCTGTTGCTAATCTTCTTCCTGGTTCAGTCAATGTCTCTTCTGTTCTTTCCTGTTCTTCTTGGGTTGGGTGAAACCTCCTGTTTTTTGACTGATGTCACATATAGTCCCAAGTCTTTATTCAGGTCAGTCAATCCTGCCTTCTTTAGGCTCATGTTAAAACTGTCCTGTGGCAATGTACAGGTCTGTTGGCCCTCCCAGTCTCACCTCTTCGGTTGCTTCTTACTATAATAGTGATACAGAAGCTGTTCTAAGAATTGGGACCACACGGTGCAGTCTTTGCTCGACAAAAACATCCATAATCCCACCAGTTATCCTTCTTTTGACTGCTTTTGTTAAGCCGCAGCATCTCAGGAACATCACACTGTTTTGCAGATGTTCTGATCCAGTCACTTAGCCATCACAATTTGTAACTTGTCCTATTTGCAACCTTTCCAAATCACTTTAATCTCTACTGGCTTGCCCGGTTTTCTTCCTTCCAAGGACTGACTGTTATTGCCTAAAATATCCCATGAACTGTCTTCTGTTCTGACATTAAATTGTTCTTTTCTCCTTCTCTGAGCACACAGCATCAACTAAAGGATACTTGGGTGAATGTATCAAGGAGTTTAACAGTTTAAATTATCCAACAGTCAGAACGATTATGGTTATTCAGTTTCTCATTTGTCTCAAAACTAATTGTTAATGTTTATACACTTACATGCTCTTACATCTATCAGAAACACTGATACTCCTTCACAGTACAAACCTGATGACTGACCAAATTTAATATATAGTTGCGTTTTTAAAGGCACAGCCAGTAATTTTTTAGATTATTTAATAGAAAATGTATATAGAAAATATACATAGAATAGTGTTTCATTACATCTTCCAATAAACTGATGCATTCTCATAAACCCATAATTAATCTATTAAAAATACACAGAAGATTGTTTGCTGTTTGTGCAAGCTGCCATGATCCATATCATAACCATGACCATATTTGAGTACTCCATAAT